TAGCATTCCTATCACTGTGCTGGGTTGCATATGGATTACCAAGGGGACAAGCTTAGAGATTTCTTTGAAATTAATGGGCATCAGGTGCTTCAAAGAGTGGAAAACAACTACAGCTTCAAATATTTCACAGAAAATGAGATACGAAACATAACCAATGGGTACAAGTATATTCTGGGAAGAGGGGCATTTGGTAAGGTCTACAAAGGAACACTAGAAGACCAAACCTCAGTTGCCGTAAAGAAATATATACATGGGACCCAGAAAGAGTTGTTTGCCAAGGAGGTGATAGTGCACTCTCAAATAAACCACAAGAATGTTGTTAGACTCTTGGGCTGCTGCACGGAAAATAATTCTCTAATGATTGTCATGGAGTTTGTCTCCAATGGAAACCTCAACAGCATACTTCATGGCAACAGCGCTAATGGTCAGGTTCCCTTCCCTTTGGAGAAAAGAATAGAAATTGCCATTGGGGTTGCTGAAGCATTATCGTCCATGCATTCGATGTATAGTCCTGTTCTTCATGGTGACATCAAACCGGCTAACATACTGCTAGACAAAAAATTTACACCAAAGATATCAGATTTTGGAATTGCAAGACTCCTTTGTGCTAATGGTCCCCAGCAAACCACCACTATCATTGGTTCCATAGGTTACCTTGATCCAGCATACTGTGAGAGTGGAATTCTAACCCCAAAGAGTGATGTTTACAGCTTTGGAGTAGTTTTGCTGGAAGTTATCACAAGGAAAAAAGCAGTGGATGGGACCATTACCCTTGCTCAAAGTTTTAATGAGGCTCTTACAAAAGGAGAGGATGTGCAGCACATGTTTGATGAGGAAATCAGTGTTGCAAAAAACAAGAAGTTTCTTGGAGACATTGGACAGTTAGCAGCTAAGTGCTTGCAGAGGGACGTCAAAACACGTCCTGAAATAGTTGAAGTAGCTAGTAATCTAAGGATGATCAGGAAAGCTATGCAGATAGAACAAGAAAATCTGAGTCAGCAGCTAACTGTATGGACATCGGGACACCAATTTGGCAATTTAAAAAATTTCAATAAAATTGAAATGAAAAGGATGACCAAAAACTACCGCACGACCTTTCGGAAAGAGTCATGTGAATGTCTCTACAATGGAGTCCTTGACGAGGACCATCCAGTTATAGTAAGACAACTTAAAACATGTTCCGATACTGACAGAAAAATGTTCCTAAACACTATGAGCATATTGAGCCAAAAGAATCACAAAAACATTGCAAATGTTGTTGGCTTTCACCTAGGAAAATCCATTTTAGAGTGTGTATACGAGTCTTTCTGTGATTTATCCAAGTCAAATTTTGGTTCTCTATCGTTATCGAACAGAAACCTCTATGACACTATCTGCTCCATAGAAAAAATTCCCCTTCATCAACGTTTGTCAATAGCAGTCCAGTGTGCAGAGGGCCTGGTTCATATCCATTCATTAGTAGCTGAAAGTCCTGATTTATGTGGTTCGAGCCTCTTGGGAAATTTCAGGTCTGTCAATATATTTCTGGACAAGAATTTTGTGCCAAAAATCTTCAATTGGAACTTGTCAACGTTTCTTGGACATTCAACTGTGCAGAATGCTGTTCATGACAATGGACGAGAGTATTATTCAGACCCAAGGGATGTTTCTAGTCAGCTTTTTAACCTGAAATCTGATGTTTATAGCTTCGGAGTTGTTCTTTTAGAGCTCATCACTTGGAAGACAGTGCGATACAAGTATGATGGGAGGGTTCATGTGCTTACTACAGACTTCATTCATTCCTATAGAACTGACCATGGTGCAATAGAATTTTTTGGCAAGGTTTACGATGAACAAGGCAAGTCCTTCATTCACGAGGCCATTGCCATTGCTGTTGATTGCTTACAACCTCATATCGAGAAGAGGCCAGAAATGAATGTTGTACTTTCCCGTCTCCGGATTATCGCTTCAGCACAAAGTATCAGAAGCAAACTCACTGGTACACGCAATGAACTCTCTTCTCGTTCTGGTCTGTCAGGCTTAACCTTCTAGATACACACATAAAAAATAAATAGAACCTGCAGTACTTAAGGTTTAGGTGTACCTTTCAGCATAATAAAAATGCACCCTTACCATATACACCGTTCATTAAATTTTGGTTTGAAGTGCTGTACCATGTATATAAAAATATAATATTTGTTTTTCTAAGAAAATAAAAGTTTCCGGCGAAGCAATCACCTTAGCCTATTGTATTTACTTTTTTGTTTCTTCAATGCAGCTAAGTCTAGCCAACACACGGTTCCTGCCACTGTCAGCAATACTGCTAAACTTCATCTAACTCTTACTCTTACATCGACCATTTCCCTAGAGGAACTGAATGAAGTAACCAGGAACTTCAGTATTGATCTTCTTATAGGGCAGGGATCGTATGCCCAAACTTTCCTGGCAGTTCTTAAAGATGGACAGAATTCTGCCATAAAAAAGCTTGATCCTGTCGAAGAAATTCAAGTACAGGTCATGCATCTGCGCCTTGCTTTTCCACCTTTTTCAGTAATTGTTGTTTTTCTGGGTCCGAGTTATTGGGGGGAGAGGAGTTGACCGATGGAAATGGTGGCATGGGCACAGGGAGAGAGGGGTATGGAGGGGGAGAGGCGGTGGCAGCTAGGATGAGGAAGTGAGAGTTGTTTAGAAGACTGTAGCAAAAAGGCAGAGGAGCAAAACCCGGGGTGTCCTATGCGCCGACCCGGGGGGCGCCGTGCCGTCCGCCGACCAGGGCGACATTGGGCCTCGCCCTGCCCCCCGCGGCCCACTGCAGCCCACCAACGCGCGGCCTCCTTCTTCCTCGCGACCGCCACTGCCGCCCACGGCTTCTTCCTCGCGACGCGCCGGCGCCACCCCACCGCCAACCGCCCACCGCCGCGGCCGCGCTAGGGTTCGCCGGAGCTCCGCGGCCGTGGCCGAACCCTAGCGCGGCCGCACCGGCTTCCTCCTTCCCCTCCCCCGCCCTACTCCCGCCGCCGCCATGAGCATGCTCAACGGCGAGCCGTGACACACCCCGCCCTATCCTGGCCCGGCCGCCGCAGCCGCCGCCAGCTCCCCTAAACCGCCCAGCCACCATCCCCACGGCTTCTCTGCCTCCCCCCAACCCCCTTCCTTCTAAGCCCGCCAGAGTTGAAAACGAGGGAGGGAGAGAGCTGCCGGAGATGGAGACGAGGGCGGCGCCGGCGAGCTCGGGTGGGGCCGCCGGAGATGGAGACGAGGGCGGCGCCGGTGAGCTCGGGTGGAGGCGCAGGCGCGTTGGTGGGCTGCTGGGCCGAATTGAGCAGCGGAGGGAGGAAGATAAACAGTGGGGAGGGGGGCGTCGGTGCGCCGACTGGTCAGTAGCGAAGATTGTCGGCAAAACCCTGTCTCTGCTTTATCAAAATAGTTGCATTTCCCCTTTGATTTATAGGAAGGATCCAACTTGATGTCCAAGTAAATCCATTATCTGGACTCTTCCTAAAACTAACCTAGAAAACACTGTCCCGGCGGTGGTGCTACTGTAATCATGGTACTGTCCAGTGTCCACTTAGGCGAAAGTACCTGTGGAACTGTTCACGAGCCTAATTTTATCACTTATTGGGCCTATTTGATCCTGGGCCATTATATTTTCATTTTTTAGTATGTACAACAAAGGATTAGTTTCTAACTACTTGTGTTGCAGGTTCCGGCCATTTTAGGAATGAGTCAGCATGACAATGTTGTGCAACTTCTTGGATATTTTGTCAAAGAGGAAACTCGTGTTCTTGCTTATGAGTACGCACCAAGGGGATCCTTGTATGATATTCTTCATGGTATGGAATAACCCTAGATTTACTTTCATAAGCTTCAAGCTTGATCATTTGGTGTTTTCTTGTTAGCCTTAGACATAGGGCAATGGCATGATTATGTTAAAAATTTTGAACCAATCGTATCAATCACATTGTTAGTCTACTAAATAATCTACAAAGTATCAAGCTTGGAAAGCCCAGATGATATTCTTCGAATTCGCCATGATTTTAGGTAAAAAGGGTGTCAAGGGAGCCCAACCAGGACCACCTCTGTCATGGTTGCAGCGTGTGAAGATTGCCGTAAGTGCTGCAAAAGGCCTCGAGTTCCTCCATGACAAGTCTGAACCTCCCATCATCCACAGCAGCATTAAGTCTAGCAACATACTTCTCTTTGACAATGATGTTGCAAAAATAGGTGATATTGGTGTCTCAATACATGAAGCCCGTAACAGGTTTGATGAGTACTATGAGACTGTTCAGGTTTCTCGCGATCCCAATTCAGCATGGGATGCACCTGAGTATGTGACAGAATACTTCCACACTTTCAGATTTACACTAATGCCTAGGCTGATAAATGATATGCATTCTGCTGCTTGTGTGCTGTTTCCTTCTGTGAACTTGTTAGGTGCGCAATCACAGGAATGCATAGCAGAAGGAGCGATGTCTACAGCTTCGGCGTTGTACTATTGGAGCTTTTAACTGGTCGCAAAGTAATTGATAATACAATGCCACATCGCCAGAGGAGCCTAGTTACATGGGTACATATGCCAGCATTCACTTTTCTAGTTTCTGTATAGGATGCAGCAGCTAATTTGCTTATCCTAAGGTGCAGGCTACACCAAGGCTTAGTAAAGCCAAGGTGGAACAGTGCATAGATCCAAGGCTTGGAGGAGGATACCCACTAAAGGCTGTAAGAAAGGTAAGAATACTGTTAAGTCTCGATGTTCATTTAAATATTCATATTATTTTAAGAAAGAGTATACACAGACACTTTAACTAAGAGTACGACTTTCTATGGAGCAGGTGCACACCACAATAAACTGAAAACCATAAGCAAATCGAATTTGCCAAATTTGCTACTCTTTAGAGTTACAACTAACATTGGTAGTCTTAAAAGAGAACAATATATTCTTGTTCTGAAAGTAGTACGCGAAACAAACGAACTTTTATTTTCTTTTGTGTGTGTAATTATTGATTTGGTTTGGCAAACAGATGGCTGCTGTTGCTGCACTGTGCGTACAGTCGGAGCCTGACTGCAGGCCTGAAATGAACATTGTCGTCAGGGCTCTGTGCCCGTTACTGAACGAGTCACCATCTCTGCCTCGGTGAAGCATTTGGAACTCGAATGTGGTTTTCGGTGGGTGTCATTGCGAGTTTAAGATCATACGATCAGGGGTTTCGTGCAGGTGATTGGTGTGGAACAGAAAGTTTTCATTACTGCATTCCCCTAGGTTTGGAACTTTGCATTGTTTTAGTCTGTACATATGATTTAGACTTGTTATTACAATGGATCGTCCTGATCTGATGCATCTTGGTCAGTTTTGAAACATGCAATGTTACGTGTAGCTTACATCTTTTTTTTTTTGGTAGTACGTGTAGCTTATATCTGTGTGCAAATGCTGAATCATGTTTTACATGATTATTACTCGGATTCCTTATTATAACAGGGGTCGGATGCTAGTATCCGATCCAACCGTGTTTCTTTCTTGTCATCCATGTCCTCACCAGGTGGTCGTCAAACAACATATATAAGCTCAAGCACACTCCGTGGCCGCTGAATTCACTCGCTTATATTTCTTTTCTTTCCTTTTTTTCTTATATTTCTTTTCTTTCCTTTTTTTCTTATATATTTCTTTTTTGTTTTATTATATTTCCTTTTTAATCTTTCTTCTATCTATTTTTATTTTACTCTAATTATTTTTCTTCTTTTGTGTGTGTTCACTTCCAGGTTGGTACGTTTATCTTTTCTTTCCTTGCTTAGATTTCTTCTTTCTTTTCGTTTCCCTTTTCTTTCTCATGCGGTTGTTTTCCTCTTTTTTTTCCTTTTTTTAATATTTCTTTTGCTCGGTCATGGGTTGCTATAAATATTGGATATATAGTTAGAGCATCTCAAGAGTTCCCTAATCACCCTTCTAATTCTTGTTTTTAGAAAGATAGAAAAAAATCTCTCTCCAGCCACTCTTGATATTTACTCCTAATATTTACTCTGGTCTTTTAGTAGCTGGGAAATTTCTTCCCCTTTCACGTAACTTTACGCGCAGCTCCCGTCGCGCGTATCCGTCCCCCGCGCTGGTTCGCCGCCACGCCGTAGTACGCCATTCGCTCGAACAGCTCGTACACTGCGTATGCATGCGTAGCATAGTCATAGATCCATGGCCCATGGGCACGCGAAGCAAATCCCGGCGGCGAAACATTGCCGCCGGCCGGCCGGCCGGAGAAACGAGAGAGCGCCGCTAGCTGACTCTGAATCTCTCCGACGACGAAAAATGAAGGTGCCGGCGGTCCAGCCACCGCGCTTGGAGCGGTGGACGGGGTTGCCGCGGAGGTCGACGGAGCCGTCCTTGGTGTACTCCCCTCCTCCTCCCCCTCCCTCGCCGTTCTCCATGGCCGCACGCAGGAGCTGGCTCAAGGCCAGAGGCGACAGGCGAGGAGAGCCTAGAGCGAGCTCGGTCCTGCTGCTGCACTCGCTGCTCAAGACCTGAAGTGTAGTGCTGTGCCGTTCTCTGGGCTCTGGCTGAGCAGCTGGAGGGAGTACTGATGCGTGCATTAAATTGTGTAGCTACACGTGCCCTCCTATTGAAGGCAGTTACTGTGCTCTGCCATGTTGCACCGGCATTTACCACGACGCCCTCCCTCCACAACGACGACGACGACGAGGACGAGCAGCGAGCATGCCCGGACAACGTACGGTAGTCGAGTGACGACGTGCAGCAGTGCAGGGCACACCGTGTTTGTGCAAATGCACCCACCCATCATCTCAAAGTGCGAAAACAAACAGTTTTTATGAGAAAAAATTAGGAGAAACTCTTGAAGATGGCTATCTTTTTTTTCTTCTAATATCTTTTTAGGAGTCGTCAAACTACAAGTTTTTAGGAGAAAAAATTAGGGAACTCTTAGAAATGCTCTTAGCATATTTTTATCTTTTTACTTCTTTTTATTGTGCATTTTTCTTTTTTTATTTCCTTTCGTTCATCAGTTTTCCCTTTTTCTTTTTTTATTTTCAATGGTACTTTATTGTTCTTTTTATTTTTATCTTTCTTTTATTTCTTTTTTACTCTAATTAATTTTCTTTATTTCATTTGTTATTTTCTTGTTTTTAGTTTATCTTTCTTTTTCTCCTATTACATGTGATGTTATGATGTATTCTGTGATGTTTAGGTAGTATACATGTGATTTTTGTTGATGTATTCAGTGATATTCACATGGTATACATACGATTTTTTATGATGTATTTTGTGAGGTTCGTGTAGTATAAATGCGATGTTTGTGTAGTATCTTTGATTATTCAAGTACCTGTGAAATATTCTATAGCATATTTAAGTTACTCAATTACTATGAATGTGATGTTCTTTTATTTTCTACTATTACGTGGTCTTTTATTTTTATTCCTTTTGTTTTCCTTATGCTTTGTTCTATCTTTTATCATTTTTCTTCTATTTATGTTATGTTATTAATCTATTTCTATATATATTATAGCTTTTGTTATTCATCTTTCCTCTATCGTCATGGATATTATAATACCATTTTCTGGAATGTTTTTATCCTTAATATGAAATATTATTTTTCAAAATTTAGAACATTTGTTTTATTAAGACAGAACATCTTTCTTGAGATATAAAATATCGCTTCTTCTCAATAAAATAAAGATGTTCTATCTTCACGAGATAAATGTTCGTTAATATAATTTATCTAAATATATTTATGTGAGATCTTGTTTTGAAAGATTTATTATAACAAACACAATGGTGAAAATCAAATTTTGATTTTGATTTTTAGTTTAACAACTACAGCTTTTTAAAACTTTAAAGAAAAGTTTGGCTCACTTTCCTAGGCATTGTGTATGTATGCAGAAACACCGTTCAGCTTTGTATGCAACTCTTGGTGGTGGCAGGCCACGTGTGGACACGCGAAATTGGGCTATGCGGGGACGTGCGGAAGTGAGCCCGCGCGGATGCGGAAAACAAAAAAGCTGTTGGCTACTGACCGGTCACTGTTTTGATACTATGTAGCCGTTGGTAATTGACCGGACGCATCCAGTCATATGGACAGACATGTTCGGCCACTTTATAATGTGCTAAGTTAGACTTCAATAGTTATGTTTTGAGGTGGAGAGTATAAATATTTTTTCTACTTGTCCAATTTAGCCTTCTTGTCTATTTGTTCAGCTAAAGAAATACTTTAAAGTGTACGGGAGAGCAAGAGCCTAGTAAGGATAATTGAAATTTGATAATCCAAGATTAAGAATATTATTAGTGCATATAGAGTAGCAAGTGTACATCCACCTTTCTCATTAGGCTTGTCATGGTCAAATGAGAGTTTATGCTTATTACTCTTGATGATCGCCATCATCTAGACGATTCGGCGGTGATTGGAAGCTTGGTGATCATCCAGCGAAGCTTGTGGATGATCCAAGTCGTCTTGTGAGCGGTTGTGGGTGATTCACCATGACGAAGTGTCAAAGAATCAGCCCGTAGAGAGCACTTGATCCCTGCGCGGATCAAGGGGGAGCTACACCCTTACGCAGGTGCTCCAACAAGGACTAGTGGGGAGTGGCGACTCTCCGATACCTCGAAAAAACGTTGCTGTGTTCCTCTCCCTCTCTTTACTTTGAGAATTTATATTTGAGCAATTCAATTTATGTCTTTACATTCTTAGAATTGCCATGCTAGAGTAGGATTGGAACCTAAGCTACAAAACTTTTATGCGGTAAAACAATAGAGAACGCATTTAGGCACCAGGGGTGAAATGGGCTAAGTGTAGGGTTTAATTATTGCAAAAAATTTTAGTTGAGCCCAATTCACCCCCTCTTGGGCATGTTGATCCTTTCACCTGCAGTCATTTTTTCGCATCGTTTTACGTGCCCATGTGAGGCCCGTGTCGCTCCAAATGTCACCAGCATCTAGAAGAGAGGGGGCGACGACGGATGCCCAGCCGATGCCGAAAGGTGGAGTAAAACAGATCGGGATTCTCAAAATAGAAATTCTGACTCTTGCTCCTCTGTGATAGTCATAGGATATCTTAGCTATCACCAGCATCCTATTTTCAGTTGATTATAGAGTCATACAACCTCAGAGTGTATAAATACATAAATAAATTACAATAGTTTGGTACAACTAACAATAAACAAAACACTATTATTCTATCATGGAAGCGAAGCTTGACGAATCTCCAATCAAGAGGCATCCTTGAGTGTAGAACGAATCCAACTAATCATCACTGCAGGTCGAGAATTCTGCACACTACCAGAAGTGTGCAGGAAGAGAAAATAAAAGGATCTGGTGATCCTAATAGTTTGGCTATGGTTTTCATCCTTAGCGCATGCGGAGTAACAACAAGTATAATAATATATAAGGCCCTATTTGGTTTCTTTAGTCCAGGGACTAGAGACTAAAATAGGGACTAAACTTTAGTCTCCTACCGTGTTTGGTTCCATGGACTAGAAGGGATTAAAGGGCATTAAAGCTACTGAACAAAGACTAAAATACTTTGGGTGAGGATGGTCCCGACACAATAAAGAGGAGAGAGGGAGGGGCATGGGGTGTTAAGTTGGACTAGTAGTCTCAAATAGCCACCCCTCAAGGGACTACAACTCAAACCCACTTTAGTCCCTCTAGTAGTCCCCTATTTGGCAAAGTAGGGACTATTTGGGACTAAATGGGCTCACTAGTCTCTAGTCCTATCTAACCAAACAGGGCCTAAGTATCTCAACCCAACCATCCATCCATCCCATCCTATATCCAACACAGTCACACCACACTCTCACATCTCACCACCACGCTCTCTAAGCGGCAAGGACAACTCCCTCTCATGCCTTGCCTCAGCAGCCATCGGGCCGCATTCTTATCCAAACCCAAGGGGGAGAGAAGAAGGGCACCTCTTGGCTATAGCCGGCTGAGTGCATCAGTGCGGCGGGGCAGGGCGGTGCTAGCCTCCACGGGGAGGTATGGGCTCGGACTCACGAAGGGGAGGAAGGGAGCAGGTGGGTGCGACGGCGGCTACAAGGAACATGGGGAGCGGCGATGGCTGGGCTTTGTTGGTATTTATTAACGCAAAAAGAATATGAAGGATTCCGTAAGCATATAGAATACCATTGTAGTATTTTACCAGGA